AGACACACGCATGAATTCCAACTGTAACAGACATAATAGCTCTGTTTGTTGATTACTATAAATTCACAAAAGGGAAGGGGCATCCAATTTCACTCAGAGGGCAAGCAACAGGCAGAGGGAATTAGTGGAACGAAGAACCAGTGTTTGTGCAACATATCCTGGTGATAATGAGGGATATAACATCACTACCCCCATCTAAAATACTAAACAGCCTCCACACATAATTAAATTATGGGGCACACATAGATTAATTCAGCTATAGAAATAATACCAGTACAGGCAGTATTCCTCCCTGGAAACAGAAGAAATACATGCTCCTAGAGTACTGCTATTATCTGCACAAGCCATCATAGAGTTGGAGAAAGCTGTGATGATATCACTAAAATTTAAAAAGCACGGCAAAAAAAAAAATGTAGTCAAATGCTGAATGTGCTCTCTGCTTCTCAGAGAAAGAGAATATGAGAACTCCCCAGGTCTGCCTTACGGGTTCAGTGAAGGACAGCACTTCACCTACAGGTTTTCAGATGTGTTTTGCACTCTAGGATTTTCATGTGTAAACAGGACTCAATAAATGGCAATGAGAATAATCTGTCTGTAAATGATCACCAAAGCAACGAAAGATGTTAAGACTGACATCACAGCAGTGCGTATTTAAGGTAGATATCCACAAGGGGTGTGAAAAGCCTTTGAAGACAACATCTATCAATTAATCGCCCAGTGCTTTAAGGCAGTAACAATGAGTGAGAATTCCCAAGTAGACACTTCAGTAAATCGACGTGAACCTCCAATTCAGATTTTACTTAAGTCTTTATAGATCTAATAGAATTAGTGATTAATTTTTCTAAAGAGTTGACCAATGCAGGGTTTGAACTTTCATTTACTGCCTCTGGAGTCAACAACCTGATGACAGATCAGCACATTAAATTCAGGGAATGGACTTGCACTACAGCAGCCGGGTACTGGAGTTTGATATTCACTATCCATCCACTCTTCCCTCCCCTGTTCCTCCTGCACAGCAACATGGATTCCAGTCTGCTCTTTTAACTGTCTCCTGCCTCAGTTTATCAACTTCACATACTGGAATACAGCCATGGGTGGAAGGCTAGAGGGCAGTGGCTCCTTCAGCCCTGCTCCTTGGGGCAGCCTGCAGCAGGCACGCAGTACCCTGGCTCAGAAGACAGACTGCAGCACTGCCCTTCCAAAAAAAAAAATGAGCTGGAGGCTACATGCGACAAGGTGCCCTGAAGGATCTTCCTACATAATACACAAAAGCAGTCAACCCGTATAACCATCCTCAGCTACTAACCATACCTGTCCATTACCAAACACTACCTCAAGATTATTTTTTTAATTACATTAACAACATTAAGCACTACCTACTACCACTTTCACCCTTTCATCACGCTTTCACCGATGTTTTGTTTATAATTTCAGGAATCACTTAACTTTTGATTCTGAAGATTTAAGTGGCTGTAAAATTAACTTGTGGAAGCCTTCCCCAGTTCAGGATCTTAAGATTATGAATGCCATGCAGTGGCTGAGCTCCATGTCCATCATGTCATGAAAACCCGTGTCCCTCTATAAATAACCAGCCTGAAATCCTTTAGAGCTGATGGAAGTGTTCAATTTGCAGGGGAAGAAAACTGTGTTGCTAAGGAACTGCAAAGAAGAAAAGGCCAGAGAGTGGTAATCTGAAATTAAATGAAAGGAATTAATTTAATTGGCCCTTGATATGTTGAGTATTTGGCATATTATCAGCAATTTAGCAGTCTGTAGGCTTTGTTTCAAATTTAGGCTGAAAGAATAGTCAGAACATGATTGCACCCTTAATTTAGGGATTAGCTGCATTCTCTCTTCTTCATAAAACAGACCCTGTTCACTTTTGTGGATTTCAGACAAAATTTTAAAAGCAAACCACATGAATATCAGTTTGAACTACAGCTATGCCTACAGTTCTTCAGACTCCATTTTTTTAGATGAAGACAAAGGGTAAGGATTTTCTTCACATTTATTCTCACTAGTAGCCCAACAGGTGTGCTTTGCCAGTAAGTACTGGCTTTCATGCTTTGCTGATTTTGGCAAAGGTCTCAGCAATGCACAAAACCAGATACTATTTCATGGATTTTTGTTGTGCCACATTTTCATTTCAGGAAAGTATTTTCAGTTGTTCATAATAATTTGGAAAAAAAAACAACTCCATGTGGTAGAAGATTTTTCAAGCTCCTTCTCAGCCAAGAATTTCAGTTGTTTTAAAGAGCATTTCCTTTTCTTTTTTTATGAGACAGATCTTTCTCTAGTAAAGCTTTTTTCTTCTTCTACCTTTTTCTCTCAATTTACTTAAATAGAAGAGAGTTACAACTGCAGAGACTACATCTCTGGCATGTTTAGCAACACCTTTACAATTTGTTACACATCTTCCAACACTTCAGCTTAAGTATCACAAACGCCTGATATTTAACACTCCCAGAGTAAAAATTCCCATACTCCAATTTTTCAAGTTGTACTTTTAACTCACAAGATGTCAGTTATCAAACTGACAACCTCAACTTCTTTCTTTCTTACTATAATTTTAGGGGCTATATTGTTGAACGCTGTCTGACTGATGAGTAGACTCTGCCACATGAAGGTATCCCATGAAAGAATTATCCAATAAAAATATATAGCAACAACAAAACTATCACACTTTTATGCAGCAAACAGGCTTTCACAGGTGGTTTACAAGGAACTGACTTACTAAACAAAATGAAGTGTGTGACCTACATATCATCTTCTCCCCCGCCATTACCTCCTTACATCTTTAACTGCATTCCTAGATCTTTGTTTGGTTGGGTCTTACTGGTTGAATTTATTGGTTTTGTAATACCTTGTTGATCAAATAAAATATAAGACCTCTCCCTCAAAATTCTGTTTGTTTTAACTTTCTTGTGATATAGAATCACAAAACACACCAGTTACGCTATAACTACATTCTATCATTTTTTTTCCCCCCTGTGAACATCTGTTTTTATTGGAGCATGAAAACTTGCTAGATGAACACCATACAAGAAGCCTTGCCATTAATATAATGAGCTTCACATACACAGGCTAACTCCAACTCTCAGTCTATAAAATTTTTGTCTGGCCTATTGAAAAAAAAAAAAAATTCCAGACCTGTAAGCCTTTCCAAACACTGTTTCAGACAGTTATTGGATAAAAACGTGAAATAAGTATTCCATGCTTTTTGAGAAACACAGCTAAAGCAGGTTAGAATTGCAGTGAAAGGCACAGCAATAAATTTCTCAGAGAGTGTTTTCTCTGTATGGCCTCTGTGTGGCCGTAAGAGATAACATTGTACTACCATAGTTCTTTCACCTCTTTTTGGAAAAAGCAAAACTTAAGACCTTCAGAGAAAATAACAGAGATGCTGCCCCATTTCCTGAATTCACGTCACCGCTACACTTCACTCATAACTTCTGTAATAGAATTAAGGACACAAAAAATAATCTGCTACCACACAAGAAAAACAAGAAAAAGGTAGGAGAACTTTAAAGGGAAAAGTTCTCCAGAAGTGTGTTTTTTCTAAAGTCTCATGGTGCCCTTCATATCACTGGAGGGCACCACCACTCACACCCAGTGCCCCAAGCACTGCATCTTGTGCTCCTTCTTTTGTGCAGCAAACAACTGTAGTGTAGCAAGTTGTTTGTTTTCTAAAAAAAAAAAGTTCATGTTGTTGTTACAAAGGTGACTCTTCCCTTTGAACTGTTTTCAATTTGTACAAGTGTTTTCCTTCTGAAGACACTTCACAGCTTCCCAAACTCTCACTTTTCTGCTTTGCCGACCCATAAAAATATTCTGGAAAAACAGGCAGCCTACAGTCTAGGGGAGCACATATATATGATCATGAAGACCACAAGGTCTTAAATATTACAAGATTATCAGCAGGTAAGGTTTCTGACCAACCATGTCCTTTGCCAAAAAATGAGACAATTCTGTGAGCCTGTCATTTTGAACCAGACTGACCAGTAATTAATGTCTGACTAGATGAAGATGTCTTAGAACAAACTTACAACCATGTAGAGAGGCCTCAGCCACACTAACGCATTGCACTGGTCAGTTTAAATTCAGCCTGTGTTATCTGTTGTGTCAAGAGCAGTTAATTTGCAACAAACAAGACATAAACATGGAAAAAACATCGTCTTCTCTCCTGAGCTTCTCACTCTTATGCTCCAGAGGAACTGTCTATACAGTAACAGGCCTTAAATGGGGTCTTAAATGAAAGGAATGGATTTTTATAGCAGTCTTGCCAAACATTACTAGACTGTCGTTTTGGGTTTGTTGGATGGGGTTTTTTGGGGGAAGGGGAGTTGCCTTTTTTTTTAAAATCACTTGTATATATATTGCAGCTAAAGCAGACAAACAGCTATCCTTAGCTTACTTCAGAGCAGTCTTTCTATGTGTTAGCATCTTTTTATTGATGAAACACAACAACATACCCCATCGTTCTCTCAAGGGGGCTACAAAGCCAGTAGTTACCCCAAGAGCAGCAGCTGCCATTCGAGACCTTGATGTTTTTAAAAAGCACTATTTGCCTTAGGATTACTTGCTCTACCCAATGCCAATATACCCAGCATTCACAGCAAAGCTGTTTGCCTACACTGTAGAACCACCCATGCTGCAGTCTGGAAGCACAAAACTCAGAAGCACAGAGATCCAAAACATTCGCTTACTTGCACTCCTCCACATTGGTCTCACCTATACTGGAAATAGAAATCAGGGAATTCAGGCAGGGGTGGGAGTTTGAAAAAGAGAATGAACCCAGATCACTTGCACACAGAAAGTTTAGAGAAGGGAAAGAAAAGAGGTTCCAGATGCTGGCCCCTTTAAGTTTTTTTAAAGCTGGAGTAAGGCATTTATATGTAAAGGTACCAAGATACCATGCATTACACACTAGTGATAACATGCCTGCTGTCACAGAACATTACTTATGGACAGATAAGGTGGAAGGACACAAATACGCTCACCGTGCACACAGAGGTTTCATCCCCAGTCTTTACTCTGTTCCGAGCCAAAAGCTGCTCCAAGAGGTTGAGTCTGTGCAGCAGCCAGGAAAATGCCAGCAGCAGCTCCCGACTACCCGCTGAGCCGTCAGAGGGGAGCCGATAGAGTTCTCGCCTGCCATAGCCATGGTACCACAATGCTGATTTTACAAACCTAATTTGGATATCTGAAAAGAAGAAAACAATTAAGAATAACACACTGCACTACTCAACGCATTTATACATTCAGTTCCAGAAACTGCTGCCTCCTCCGAGAGCAAGATTTTTAATCAAGCCCAAGATTAGTGGAGGACAGTGAGACAGTCTTTATCAACAACTGAAAAAGGACAAGAAGTATAGAGTAAAAGCCCTCCTTATGCTTCCCCATTCTGATCTACATGAACTACTGCTAAGGAAAAAGAAGAAATTCAAAGTTGAGACCAAGGCCAGTAATAGCCTCTTGGAGATTAACAAAGGCCAAAAAGGTAAATAGCCATCCCCGCTATAACACGACTCCAGTTCACCTATTCATTTTTTACAAGCCACCAAGCATGCTATGAATTAGTAAACAACCCGCTGAGTCACTTTACTCCTGAATGAAACTGGAATTCAGAGATAGGAGTTTCACAGCCTGGTGCAAATCTCTGAGCACCAGTGAGCAGGCAGAGATAATGCAGCACATCACACTGCATACCAGACCACATGGACTATTTAATTCTCAGGAATGCTCTGATCCTGATTCCTTCACACCAGCAAATCTTACCTGACAGCTACAAGACAGGCACTACAGAACTGTAAAATACTGCGGAAACACAGAGAAAATTATTATTAAAGTTCTGACCAGTAAGGCTCACTCTGTACTAAGTCAAAACTACAACAAAGAATATAATGAGGGGCACAATGATAAACAATACATACTGGGGACGAACCAACAGTTGTTGTAAAACAAATCCCTGCTCAAAAGGCTACTAGAGTTCTCCAAAGGCAACAAAAAGCAAGTGATTAACGAAGATTCAACCAATGCAAGAGATTTAGACTTCCCAGTGGGATTCAACTGGCACAAAGAAACAAAGCCACTGCAGTGGAAGGAGAGGGAAGGTCCTTGAATCAATGGCAAGTGCCTAGCAGACAAGAACCAGGGTGTAGGTTTCACGAGGGCTCTGTGCTAAACAGTGCTTGTTCAACCAACTCAAAATGACACACAGACAATGTGACAGTGACAAGAAAATTTGGTGCTGATGTGATATTACTCAGTAGTACAGAATGCAGGTGGATCATGAAGGATTGCAGAACCTAGTGACGCCAAGCTTTAAAATGACAAATTTTAAAAAAACAATTTTTAATTTAATAAAGAATTTTTAAAAAGATAAAATTCTTTTTAGAAAAAATGAAAAATTATGCACACAAGGGAAAAAACAATGCTAACTTTACTGACATGGCAACAGGCTCGGAGCTGACCACTAGACTCAGGAACACAATCTTAGATTGTAAGATTTTTCATTACAATATCACACTTGGTTGTCATATGCATCCAAAAGCAAATTGAATGTGAGAAATCTAGAAAGGAAACTAAACAGAACATAGGGAGCAACATTATATTGTTGTCTATATAAACTGTGACCCTACATCTCAAATTCACAGTATTATTTTATTTCTTCCATCCTAAAAACACTACAGAAGACTTGGAAAAAAACAAAGAGAAACGACAAGTACAATCACAAGTACAGAACAGCTTCATTGTAAGAAATTACAACGTAGGCCAAGAAGACAACTAAGAATGGAGATGACAAAACTCTTTAAAACCGTAAGTGCTGTGGAATGGGTAAATAGGAAATAATTTGTTTGCACGACATTCAATACAAGAACTGTGAGCCACCAAACAAAGTTAGCAAGCATGTGAGTCAAAACAAGTTAAAGAGATGTTCTTCAGGCATACAGCAAAGCTCTGAAATTTCTGGCCATGGGACTGTGACTATGGACACAGAGTTACAAAGGCTCAGGGAGGAACTGGATTTACAGAACAGGAGTTCATGGAAGCTTATGAAATGCAAAGATGCCCTCTCTGGTTTGGGAAGTCTGAAATGTAAATTACTGGAGGCTGAAACACCACCACCCTGAAAGCATCCTTCTATACTCCCCTGCCACAACTGGATGAAGCTAGAGGAACCTTCAGCTTGATCCAGTTTAGGCATTCTTACAAAGTAAGGAAGAAAGCCGCCCCCCTTTGCCAGTGTTATGCTTCACTATCTCCGTGGGGGTTCATAGAAGAGGTACACACTCACATACACAAAAATAGCAGCAAGTACAAACCTCACACAATCAGGGATTGTCACTGCTGTCCTTAATTAACATACCGATTCGTCACATTACATACTCATTTGCCTGCTCCTTGCCACTTGTGGTAAAAACATCCCTTAGCACTGACACGTGTCATAATCTTTCTTTGTCTGGCATTGACTGTTGAACCTCAAAAACCACATAATGACCAACTTCAAAACAAAAGAACAAGAAAAAAATCCTGTTGCTCTCAAAAGGAATTTGTTAATCACAGCGAGGAGTGGTTGATTTTAGCATATTGCAAATTAAGTTGAGTCTTATCCACCAAAAGTAATACAAAGCCAAGACACGGGGAGGAGCTATAAGCTGACCTACGCTAGTAACCCTATAGCAGCAGTACAGGAGAGTTCCAGCTCTGCTGAGGCGGGAAGGACCTGGTAGTCCATAAAAAGCCACCAAGCCCTTTGCGCCTTGACAAACCAGAGGAAGGTATATTGTTTGCACTGTTTGACCAACATCAGGATTTAGGGAAACAAGAGTGCGGATCCCCAAGGGGACGCCTACTTTCAGAGTGTTCCTCAGTCCAAATACACAGATGGAACTATTATACAGATTACTACACATCTTCAGCAGTGGAAGCGGGAGTACACAATTGGCCATGTGAAAGCTACAAAATAATTCCTGACAAAGACATTAACAATGACTGAAGAACAAAAAACAAGATCAGGAGCATGACTAAGCATGTGACACAATGGTACAGAGCTACTAGTTTTTTGCAGTAGTGTTTTGCGTAGCAGAGCTTCTGCAGAGACACAACAGTTGGACAAATGGTTTTAAACCTAGCTTGTTTCTGCATTACAGACAAAAAGGAAACCAAAACACCTAAATCACTCTGCTCTTTTTGCAGAGCCTGTGAATGTAAAAACAAGCAGCTTCCCTTCACACTGCTAAGGTGGCAGAAATGCCTATGGTTTGCTAAAAACCTTGCTGTAGGGATGCGCTCCAATCACTCATGCACAGGGGGAGCACTCAGATGTTAGAGATTTCATTTTGACCACTCTTGAACATTCTTACATGAGCTAGGTTTTCATGTTGCCCTTTCCTTTTCTTTGTGTATTTGTCAAGAAAGGAACTGCCGTAACAGGAAAGGTAGAAATACTCCAGAAGGAAGGAATACCAGTACCTACTTTCCTTCTTTTTCAAAGCAAACAATCATCACATGCTGCCATCTGCAGTTCATGGAGCTCCCCAAGAAATCACATATCAAAGAGAAGGAATAGAGATCAAGCCAGGTGGTTTTTTCTCCTTTATCACCATTTCCCTGCTCTGACGTACCACCTGGGACCAGATCCACCAAGGCAACTGGTCACCTGAATCTCTGTGTTGCTCCAGGCCTTTATCTCCCCCTGCAACAATTTGCCCGCACATGAGAAGGTACTATTGGTGTGAGTATCAGGCAAGGATTACAGATGAGCAGTCGAAGCATGGATCTGGAACCGGGGCTCAAAGAGCCTTTCCATGACCTTAGAGAAGTCACTTAGTTTTCCTCATCTCTGCAGCGCTCTGCTTACAAGGAAATGGTGCTCAGAAAAATGGCAATATAGGCTACAGAAGTACCCAAAACCAATGATGGATTCCTCAAAAATGTGCAGCCCAGAGAGAAAAACCATCACTCAGATAGCAGATAACACCAGCCACTCAACACTCCCCGACAACATCTTCTTACGGTATTTCTTTAGGATTAGGCAATTTATAGAGAAAGTCCTACCAACTAATCCCCTTCTGCATGCACTTTATTTATAAGAGTACATTCAGCAAGTAAGACCAAGCTGTGGATGAACCTCAGGGTTCAGCTCTCTTAAAACTATACTCAGACTGTGCTCTTACGAATCTTGTAGAGTATTTTCAGTGAATTACAGCATGATATTCAAATAAGGGTTATGCATTAGCCTGGCAGGCTAAGATGTAAAGGAACTAAATCAAGTACAAGAACAGACACAGATACATTACTTCATGCACTCAGGCAAGAAACACCTGCATAGGTAGTGGCATTATGGGAAACTACTGCTGCAGAAGAACATTTTCGGCTTCATTTGTCAAATAAACATATATTGCAGCTCCAGACCTCTTTCCCATACTATAAAAAATGAATGGTGACTCCAGAAAAGAAACATTTCCTCCAACTACCTAAATGCATATTGCACCGCTATCCGCTATATGCATTTATAGTGTGGCGGTTAGGATGTTAACCCAGTCCACCAGCTCTCAGCCTCCGTGAAGGAAGGGCAGCATGAAATCACTAATCATGGCTTCATCAGTAAGGTTATGCCTGGGGTACCATTACACAACTTACTTTGTCAGTGACGTACGAGTCAAGAGACCTGTTGTTCTGACGTGTTTAAGGGGCTGGTGTGTACTAACGGCTTCCCACCAAAGTTTACAGTAAGTGATTTTTACCATGTGAAGAAAAAATTCTTCCAAACCGAGAAACCAAGAGAGCCATTTGCAGAATTCTATAACCACTGACTGTCAGGCTTCAGTGGGGTTTTTAGTTTCTTTGTGCAAGAATGCAATAGTCCCTACATTTTAAAACATCAAACTGTGGGGATTTTTTTTTTTTTTACATGTGACTTTTCAAATATTTTGTCTTCTGCTAGCTAGGCAATAAAATACATCAATACTTAAAAACATGATGCAGAAAGTTTTTCTAAATAAAAATCACATCACAAGCATAACAAGGGAATGACTAGTAGCTGCTGTATTCAAAGCAAATTTTCAACTCTAAAATTCACCTATATAACAAAAGCAGATCAAAAACTGACTAATGAAAACTACTAATTCAAAGCAAAAGTACATACCAGGCTGCAACTTCAAAAGTCACTTGATGAAAGTACTTCCTAGATTTAGTAAAAGTTTTCAGGAAAAATCTGTCCTTTTCCATGGGCAAAATCTCTAAGAGCATTCTGTCCTTGCAACGCACTGCTTTCTTCTAAGCACCTCACAACTGCAAATGCTTCAACATCTGGAACGCAGCCCTTGAAATGTAGGTCTCGCTCTAGAGTAGTGAGAACCACCATGACTCCAACAACACACAAAGACTACAGGCCAAAGCTCAGCGTTTCCTTTGGAAAAAACTTTTAGCCTAAAAAAAGAAAGAGTAAAACACCATTTAAGTATGGGTTCTCTTTTCCAGAACGCTGTTCCTATGCCTATGCACACAGTAGCTCTCATACCAAAGGAGTCTTCACAGCCTTCCACTGGGATCTGGCAACTGCTGCCCTCCTTGTTTTAGCTAAGATAATTAAGAGGCTGTACAAGAACAGCAAAGAAAGGAAATCTTGATCCATGGACTAAAGCACTAGACATTGATTAGAGGAAACAGTTTCAATTCTTTGTGGTGCTACAGGATCCTGTGCAAACCTGAGAAAGTTATTTAGTGCCTATGCCCAAGGCTTCCACTTCATTTCCATGAAATAAATACATGAAAGACCGTAATTGCTCCAGAGCAGGGACAGAGAAGAAAAGCAGTAAAATATTGTCTTCATAGCAGACAACTCATTCATTTGGCCAAGCAAAGGTAATTAATGTAATCTGAAAAACCGTACAGCTATCCAACCTAAGTTTCAGCTTTAATCACAGAGTTGAGACTAAACAAGTTTCTTAAAAATCAGCTTAGCAGTTCTGAGCAAAACCACACATTCCCACCTCACAATCTACCCGCAGAGGCTGGGTTTGTTCTCTCTAGAGCCAGCAACCTGCCACACGCACATGGAAATCCTGTCTGCAAATGCTACAAGCAATTAGTATGGGAGCAGCCAGGATTCAATGAGGCTGAACTTTTGCAGGACCACCTCAACAAAGCTGCAGGAGACAGACAGTAAATTGAGTTACCATACACAGCAGATTGTGGGTGAGGAGAAAAGCAAAACCAGCCAAATGAAAAATAGCAGTCCTGTGAGTAACACAGAACCATGCTGATTTCCTGC